GGTGTGGAGAGTCAAACCATACACATCACTCATAATGCAAAAAGAAAAGTCATTTTTGCAAGAATTTAGATGATTGCAAATCTTGCAAAAGAGGGAGAAAGTAGTAAATATACGTCTCCTCCCTAAAAGCAAAACCAATAATGCATACGATTTTATTTCTGAATGAGAAGCAAACAAAGGGTAGGACAAAAACATGCAACTTCAGACTCGTTTGCTTTTTGGTTTTTTGGTTTCATTTTGATGGGGTTGGAGCTGCCTGCTTGCTTCAAAGAGATCCAAATTTAGGGATACCTTTCTGATCACACATCTCTCTCTCACACACACACACACACACAGACAGTCTTGATGAACTTGTTTTCTTAAACTGTACGGATTATTGGATTCTTGTTTCTGTTTTGGCAAAATTTTGTACTCCAGCGTCTGGATTCTTGTGTTGGATCGTCTTCAAAGAGTTGGCTATACTTGTAAACGACTATCTTGGATGTACAAGAAGAAGTTTAGTTTACTGCCTGCCACAGGTCTGAACCTTAATTTTCACGTTTGAATTTTAGTTGTATATATATATATGTGTATATCTCATTCTGAACTTATCGTAGATTCATCAAAACCTAACAAGAAGCACTTCTGATGTTTAGCTTCCTTTTTAGGGTTTTCTTGTTATTCAGATCTGTAGAACTGAAGATGGGTTTTTAAACAAGATTACAGTTTGATGATCTGAAGGTCTCACCAGTCAATCTTTCTGATATCTCAAGTTAAAGAAAAAGAGAAAAAGAAATAATTTAGTCCAGTTCATTTAATAATAGAGAGAGAGAGAGATATGAAGGGCATGTTTTTGGATGACAGTATGTCAAATTTAACATCAGCATCAAATGAAGCAAGCCTATCTTCATCAAGTAACAAGAATGAAGTTGGTACTATGTACCCTCCACCACAACAGATGCAGCAGTCCTTTGCTTCTGTGCCAATTAATTCCAACAATCAAACCCAAACCAACAAGAAGAAGAGAAATCTTCCCGGCAATCCAGGTGATTAAATCAAAACCTACACTTTAAATTCATTAATTTCTTCATCTGGGCTTCTGACTTTTGGGATCCAAAGTGTTAATTAATTAAACAACATATCTTTATATTGAAGACCCAGAAGCTGAGGTGGTAGCCATGTCTCCAAAATCACTCATGGCAACAAACAGGTTTCTATGTGAGATTTGCAACAAAGGGTTTCAAAGAGATCAGAATCTTCAGTTGCACAGAAGAGGGCACAATTTGCCGTGGAAGCTGAAGCAAAGATCCAAACAGGAGGTGGTTAGGAAGAAGGTGTATGTATGTCCAGAACCTAGCTGTGTGCACCATGAACCTTCAAGGGCACTTGGAGATCTCACGGGTATCAAAAAGCATTTCTCACGGAAACATGGGGAGAAGAAGTGGAAATGCGAAAAGTGTTCAAAGCGATATGCGGTTCAATCCGACTGGAAAGCTCATTCCAAGATTTGTGGCACTCGTGAACATCGATGCGACTGTGGCACTCTTTTCTCTAGGTACGTAAAATTTTGTAATTAGATACGGTAGAATTGATTACAAACTCCTTAAATATATATAAAGTTAATATCTTTATCAAATAAATTACATATTTAACCACTTCACGAGTGGAACAGAAGATGACAAGCGAATTAATTAATACATGGAGTTTTAAATACCCTTTATATAATTATTCTACTTCAGTTCTTGACAATTTTAATAAATTAAATGAGACTTGATTTGCCCCCATGAATTCAATGATCCTATTATATATGAACTAATCTGTCTTGTGAATGTAGATAAGTTTGTGTTTATGAGTGAGTGTATGAGAGAGAGAGAGAGAGAAAGAGAGAACAGTGTTATAGTGAACTGTTTATTAATAAGCTTCCATAAAAGTGCATATAGTTAATGGGTTTGTGTTCTTTTTGTTTAGAGTGCTAAATTGTTTGTTTCTTTTTGGTTCCATCTCTATCACCACAGGAGGGACAGCTTCATCACCCACAGAGCTTTCTGTGGTGCTTTGGCAGGAGAAAATGCAAGATCTTCATCATCATCCCTACTCTCACCAAACCACCTTCCCCTTCATTTACCAATCAATTATCCACTCAAATCAGAACCACATCTCTTCCAACGCCCTCAAGTACTCAATTCCAACATCATCACTAATACTTTACAAAATCATCAGTTGCCATCATGGTTTGTTCATCATCATCAAGAAAATCCTAGCCCTAATAATAATAATAATAATAATAATCTTCATCTTCCTTCTCCTTCTTCTCCTCCTCACATGTCTGCAACTGCATTGCTCCAAAAGGCAGCTCAGATGGGTGTGACAATGAGCAAACCTGCAGCTAGTACCAATACTGCCATTGTCATGTCACAGCAGCAACAGCAACAGCACCAGTCTATTCCAAATGGACCCCACCAAAATGATCACATGTGTGCATCTACACTATTAACAGCTCATCATCATGATTCTGGTCTTGAAAATTTGTCTTGTAGTGATGATGATCATCATGCGATGTTGGGATTAAAGGGTGGGTTTGCTAATGTCAGCATGGCCGGTTGCTTGGACCAAATTGGTGCAACCACGATGCATGCTCATTCTCAGATGCTTCATACTAATTCCTTGGCTTGTACTAGTGTAGGGTCAACTGCTTTGCAAGAGGCCTTTAACGGCATGCTGAATTCCACAAAGGGTATTCACAATACTGGCTTTCAAGAAGCATTTTTCCGCCAAGCATCAGAAGCATCTCTGAATCCAACCAAAGGAGGTGGAGGTGGAGGTAGAGGTGGAGGTGGTGGTGGGAATGATGAGTTGACGAGAGATTTCTTGGGTCTTACAGGTTTTCCACCTCCTACTGCTGATCATCATCATCATCTTCTCAATATGGCTGGTCTAGATCCTCTAAACACTTCACCCTATCATCATCATCAGCAGCAGCAGCAGCAGCAGCAGCAGCAGCATAATCTGAACCAGAACCAAAATCAATTACCTTGGAATGGTTAATATTTGGCTAGCTAGGATAGGAAGATACAAACTTTGTTATCACCATCTTATCCCGTTTTTAAGCGCTTACTTGCATAGTTTTTTTACAGTTCATTTTGTTGCTAGAATTTAATTACAATTTCTCCTTTTTTGCTTCTAAATTGGAGATCTCAAAAAAATACATATTATCATTTATGCTTCAAGTATTTGAAATTTCTACAGTTGTTCCTCCCTATGTTCATTACCCGCAGGCATTCAAACCACAAGATGTTAAAAAGGGATAGACGACGAAAAAGTGTTCGTTTATTTACTTCAAGGCGTATACAGTCATATCTTATTTCTCTTCGTGGCCTTAGAAATTTAATCAGATAGCCTTGGTTGAAAAGTGTTGGAGATCTTGGGTGGACACTTGCTTCAATTCGTAGTTGTGGCAACGTACAGTATTTGTGACTATGGAAGATATGAAAACTGAGTCAGCTAGAATTCAATTGTTTTGTCCTCTAGCACCTCATACTAATCGTTAGATTCAGCATGCACACTTTCCCAAACGATAAAGATGTAACCTTTATCAAACAAACGATGCATGTACGGCAACTTGGATCCAATGATTATGATGACCAACAACACAATTTGTATACTTAATAAGCATGCCGATTCCCATTGATTTACTCGGTTCCGCCTTTAGAAAGATGGTGTACGATCCACAAACAAAAAATGGTTACGATATTTCGCTTGGAAACAAAATCTGTGTGCCTTAAATCCAAGTGTTTTTCAGCATGTTTGATCCATGCTAAGTGATTACCGACGGAAGGTGATTGTCAATCGTGATCCATCACAAATCCACTGAAAATTACCGGTAGAAATATCTGTTTGGTGAAATCTCTTTGTTTTGTAGTGAAACTAAGAGGTGCTGATCGTAATAAGGTTGGCATGGTTATGTCACACCTATGCATAGGAACACCATAAACTTTTATTCACTTTGATAATAACTGAATGATAATAACTGGCATGGTAAAATACTATGATCTTCAAATAAAGTAATTAATGAAATGTTAAAATACCATATAATATTATATTCCACATTGATAGGTTTTATAAGTCGTTTTATGTCAAGATGAAAAGCTAATTCATATGGCAAATCCGAAGATTAATTTTTAGGTTTTTGAATTTAGAACCCATATAACACAGGTATAGTATAAGCGCTACGAAACAAAGATTTTTCATCGACAGATTTTTCCATCGGTGATTGAAAATCCGCCAGTAATCACAGTCACCTGCCACACTTTCTTCGACAATGAGATCTGTCGGTGATGGCTTTTTCCGACGGATTACCTGCCTCTTTGTTTTGTAGTGAAGGTTCCTCCAAGTGTAATTAGAAACGATTCAATTAGGCTTCATCTATATCCTTCTTCGGGGGGGTTATTTAATAGCATCTCAAGGATCCATTTTCACTTACAGCTTTAGAAAACAAGAAATTCGTAAATGGAACAATAAAGTATGTATCATGAACCATGAATTGTAATTTCTTATCGTTTGTAAAATGCGAGATTTCAACGTCTTACGACCATCGGATACTCATTGTGGACTAATGTCCTCTGGTGACTCGACACCCTATGTCCACCAGATATAACGACGAATTGTTACATGTATGAATATTATAACAACAGTTCATTGCCATAGAATCAAGAACCATGGACGTTCTAATAGAGTAAAGTCTGTAGGACCAAAAACCATGTATTCTATCTGAAGTTGTTACAGTAAGTTGTTAGCCAGAGTTTTGACAACCTTACAAAATAACAAGTTCTATTGATGAAGTTAAACAACATAATAAGATTACAAAAATTAAAACGTTCTATTAATATATATATTTATGACTCTTTTAAAACAGTTTTATTTGTCTTCCATATACATGACAGCGCCAAAATACAATTAACACCAAAAAAAAGTACAGCTTTGTAGTCAACTCTTAAATTCAATAATTTTTTTTGTGACAATCATTGAACGACTGTTAAAAGAGTAACTGATATTAATTTATGAGTAACACTGATTTTTTTGTAATTTTTAAATAAGAAATAATTAATATTGTGACCAAAATTACATATTGGGAGCTTTGGGGACGTATTGACGAATTCCAAAAACTTAAATAATTAAAATCGTAGTTTTTATACTTTTGGGAGTTTTTTCTTGTATTTTCTATAAATTTAAATAATAATAAAAATCGGTGTAGAAATCGTATTCTTTTTAAAGCTCAGGACCTAAATTGCAATTTCAAAAAGTTATTTAATATTAAAATCTATGTACTATCTTATAAATCAGATTTATCAGAAGTCTAAAAAACAATTTTTAATGCAAAAAGTACTATACATTTATGCACAAAATCTTAAAAGTCTTAAAAATAACTCATAATGCATTAAATACTACTACTTTATGCATTCAGTCTTAAATTCTTTTAATTTACAATTAAAATAACATATAGTGCAATATTATTTATTTTCATGTTCCCAATATACTTTTGACATCTTTCACTAATGTCTTCATCATCTCATACCTCTATGTTTTCTCCCCATTTTCGAAGGTGAGATTCAAACTGATATTAACCATGAGTTATTAAAAGTTATTTCATACATTTCTCATTCAATTGCTCTAGAACTCTTGGTCTCGCTGTCGATCTCTTGATTCTTTGCTCTTGGTGTAAATCGAACACATTTGTGGAGTTGTTTAAATATGTTGGATTTTAAACTTTGGTGTAAATCGAACACATTTGTGGAGTTGTTTAAATATGTTGGATTTTAAATATATTGAATTTTAAACTGTCATACAATTTTTTTCATCGATAGACTGTAATTGGAACCAAATGTAACTTATATCATCGTTAAATCTTCTCTAATAAAACCAATGAAACTTCAAAATTGTTAAAATTCACGMCTCCCGCCGCATTGCACGGATACAGAACCAGTAAATTGATAAATAATCAACAATGAAAATATAATGGGTTCAAAAATAAAACGGGTCAACGGTCAATGTCTCTACAAAGTACAAAGTACAAACACATACTAGTCTAGTAGTCTCTCAAGGTTCAAGCTATCAACCCACAAAGCCCTGGCCCATTATAGAGGGGCCCAATCGTACAACCCAACGTCACGTAGCTTGCCTGTTTAATCATCGAGGCCCATATTTACGCAACCCCATATGTTTAATTATATATTATTTATATAGGGTTGGGTTCCGATAAGAATAAAAGTTATAGTGAGAAAGCTAAGAACGAATCTTTACCCATGGAGCAATTTTAATTGGATCAGTTCCCGTGATAAACGCAGTTAATGGGGTGGAGGTTAGATTAATAGTGATCAAGCTACCATGTCATTTCTTATGTTTATCACCTTAACTTTTATTCTCACACGATTTTTCTTCTATTTGTATAAGTCAAATGTAGCTTATCAGCTACCTGATTGATGTATCAGTGCTAATTTATCAACTAGTTTGTCAAATATGACATTTAATGAGGTTAAAATCTTTGACTTCTTAAAAGAAAAAGTACGTTATCCAAAATACGAATTAGAACAAAGTACGTAATTTTATGAAATTTGCATTTTAAAAAATAATAAAACCTTCAAAGGTTGTACTTCATTTGTCCTAGAATAAGTGCACATAATAGAAGGGGAGGCTAATGACACATCTATCCATTGCTATTGGCACATCAGGATTTGGTGTTTTTTTGTCTTATTATTATTATTATTACTATTATCTTTTGTCTTATTATTATTTTAAATTATTTTACATAAATTTTAATTAATATAAGTTATTGATTTTTAGTGCCTTGGTTCTCTCTTTCAGTTTAGTTTGTTGCTAATCTGCTGAAGTGGGTGCTTAGTTTGCATTAGGGTGTCCTGTCTAAATCCTGATTTAGAATTTATTGTGGTCTTAAATAACAACTGTCTGGTTTTTTCTTTCTGCGTATGGTTTGGACGCATTACTCTCAATCGCATCCTCAATATTATTCCTGTTCATTAGATTTAATTGGATGTGTTAAAATTGCAATAGAGAGGATTGATTTCTCCATTTTCTATTTCGGCATAGTTCTTAATTTGAAGCTAACCCTGTTTTACAATTACTTTTCAGTTTAGTTTTTTTTTATTTCACCTAAGACAAGAATGCAAATGACGGTTTTATGCAATCATGTTTGTGTTTTTGCAGGGGTTCTTATGTTGATCTCTCTCATTCAAATTTGGCGAGTGAACGCATGATCCATTTATAAGGCAAATGATCACCGTAATGTCATTAGTTGTTATAAAGTTAGTATCGTTTCTTAAGGATTTTGAGTTGGTGCATATAATATTGGGAATGATGACATACTTTGCAACAAAAATTTACCCCTACTGACATATAGCATTCCTCAAGACAAAAAAGTAAAAAAATAAAATAAATGAAAATACCGTGCAAACCATCCTTATTCGTCAATTTCATTGTTTAATTTTATGAAATTTTTTTATTAAATTGTTTAATCTTGTGAAATTGTTTCATACAATATTTTTTTTGATAAAGTTGTTTCATATATAGGGTTTTGAAATTATTTCATATAATACTTTATGAAATTTTAATGAAACGGTTTCATATATTTCTTTAAAATTAAAATAATAAAGATGATAATATCCACAATTAACACCCTCCACAATAAAAATGATTAATCAATCTCTCATAATTACAAAAAAAATGAACAAAATAAAAATTTATGATTAGTTGAATGAGGTTTGTACGGTTTATTCCTCTCTCTCTATATATATATATATATATATATATATATATATTATAGTTGTTTTTAGACTTAAATCAAAGCTATTTGAAAATATAAACAAGGTACAATAATTTCACATAGACTTTATTAAAGACACTTATCTTGATTGTAATCAAGTTTTTATTTTTATGGGACGTTTGATTCGTAGAATGAAATTCGATGAAATTGAAATTCATTAAATGAATTTGACTTTGAGAGAATAAAATAGAATCTAATGGAATTTGACCATGCCTTGTGATTGCGTTTGATTGCATGGAATTGGATTAGGGAAGGAATCTTGAGGAAAGGAATCTGTAATCCTAACATATTGCTA